TAGAAAGTATTGGCGTGAGGGAAATTGGTCTTAAGTGTTTGCTGACGTCTTTTACTATTCTTTGTTTCGGTACTGGAACTATATCCGCTTCTTTCCATGATGGTGGTAACCTACTTTCGCGGAAGGAGCTGTTTATAATTTCTGCTATAGGTTCTGCAAGAAGGTCTGCATTCTCCTTCAGTAGCCAGGCCGGGAGGCCATCTGGACCTTGAGCTTTTGTTGGATTCAACAACGACAACTTCATAAAAACAGAGTGAACGGATAAAACAAATAGTGCGGATGAAGGGATATCTTGTTCGAGTTGAAAATCGTGTGGAAGAGGTGAGAAAATCTTCATCGGAAGAATAAAAGCATCATTAACTATATTAGCTAGGTCAGATGTGCTTGAGGCCTCTTCTATGAATCGGAGAGAGTTCATTACATCATTTTGTCTCCCAGATGCAGAGGACATGCTGCTTAACTTTTTAATTTCTTTCCACCACTTTGCTGGTTTACAATCTTTTAAATGTTCAACTTTTGCTTCATAGTACTTTGATCGGCACACTTTTCTCTCTCGATTCACACAATTTCTTAGGCGTCGAAATTCAATTAAGTTCCCTTGACTAAGGGCTCGCTGGCGTTGCTTGATTAATTTTTTAAAGGTTGAATTAATCCATGGGGGCTCATTTAGATGGATAGTTCTAGTTCGTAGGGGAACTACTTGGTCTAAACCGTTCTTTAGGATTGATTGAAAAATCTCTAATTTTTCAGCGCACGTATCTTTGGTTTTAACTAGGGCAGCAACATCTATTTCTTGAAAGTATGTGTGCATAGCCAAACGATTACTTGGACGCAAGTCCCTTGATTTAATTGTTAATCGCTGCTTCGGTTGTTGTGAACGTATTTTTGGCTGAAGATCAATAGTCATATGATCGGATAGACCAAAAGGGGGACGCTGAACTGGGCTGTTATAGAACTCGTGTAAATTAGTCAAAATAAGATCTAATGTATTTGAACCTCTTGTTGGGAAAGTGATGATTTGTTTTAATTTGAAACTAGATTTCAATTTTGTGACTTTCAATTTGTTGAAGTCTCCGAGTAGAAGGATTCCACTATTAGGGCTCTGAGCTTCAATTGATGAGAGGCAATTTATAAGATAGTTCAACATTTCAGAATCACTTGCACTTGGTGGATGGTACACTGTTCCTACAACGATGCAGTTAAAACCTCTTGGGAGTCGGGCTGGGCGGATTTTAATCCACAGGACTTCGAAAGCAGGGTTAACTAAATCGTCCATGAGGGAGAATTGAATCGATTCACTGATGTACGTACAAACTCCGCCGTGTACCTGTGATTTTCTATCAAGCCGAACTATATTGAATCCACTGATGGACACTACTTCGTCTTGGATGCAATCTTTTAGCCACGTTTCAGTTAAACAAACTAGACCAAAATTTGCGTGCACAACGCAATGTTGAATCTCATCAATTTTCGGCGCTAAAGACATCACATTGGAAAGGAGAACACTTGGAACGAATATATTTTCTGGAGCACATGCAACTGTTGATTCCATCGCGGTAGCGAGGGTAATTTGGACACAGTTTGCAGGATTATGAATTCTGGCTGATGTCAATGTTGTTGGTATTTGTTTGGTATGTCTGACTTGTCGCAATTGCTCAGGATTTACAAGTCCATTAGCGATTGGATAACGCTGTGATGCGATTGTGTCTCGGTTAGTAATTTGTACAGGGATAGGGATAGGTAAAGTTAAGGGGTGGTGCGGTCCCTGGTGCCGTTGTTGGAGTGTTGTCATTGTGTTAATCGGCGAACAAGATTTAAGTGATGTAGCCAGTCGTTCGTGTGTCGATACGCATTGAAAAGGCTTGCTCTGCAGATGATTGCGCCACCGAAGCCCCATAAGAGACAGACTTTACCTAGCGCACATGAACGTAATATAAGGTATTGCTGTTTTGACGGAAACTAATTGAATTAATGCTCGTGACCAATTATTGAACCATGCGGTTTTATTAAAGCAAAATTATAAAACATGCATAGACCGAGTTTTCTGTGCCCATAGACATGGTTTTCTGCTTCCCTGTTTTTCAGGGAAAACCCGAAAACATAAAATCGAATCTCTTGAGACCGGGTTTTCTGTTGCACTAGGCAACTTGACATTTATTTCACTTCAAGTTATAAAACAAAATCATTACAAATTACCAGGCAAAGATGTTGCTAGCCCGCGTGCAGGCCCAAGGGAACTGATAGTGGGCATGCAAGCAAGGCCCGGTATTTTGTAAAACACCCCTTTTCATAACACGCCCCATTCGCACGTCAATTGTCAAAAAAGAACCAATGACAGCACCCAAATATTAACAAACAAACTCGCATTAAAATGTTGCGGGGTTTTCTCTGCTTATTCAGAACATAAACAATGTCTAAATGGCTGCGTTTTAACTCCAAAAAAGCAAGCAACGCCGTCAGTAATTGACAAATTTGCCGGTGCTCATTTTCAACTAAAATCGGAACAGGCAAATTAAGACGAATTTCAACAGAAAACCAGTCTCAAACTTCAAATCGTGAGGGAAGTCGTGCGACCACATCAGCATTTATATTATGTGTGCTTCGCTGTCGCCATTGTTATAAATAAATTGTCTCACTTATCAGATCGTGTGTGCAATTCTTGTTGGCGGCGGAAAGTACGAAATTTATTTTAGTTATTTCATTTGGTAAATAACTCTACAAAAGAAGAGAGCTTTCAGAGTCCAGATCGTTTCGTTTCAAACGGCAATTTAATACCGTCTTCTGTTTCGCTCTCTCAGCGAAGCCTTGTAAATCGCAAAGTGTTTTGAATAGGCTTACATGCAACTGAATCTCAACATCAACCAGAAGATCATTTTCTTGGGGAACATATAACGTATCAAGTCTGTTTGAAAATTGAAATTAATGTAAAGTAAAAAGGTTACTAGAGTTTACCCCAGTCGTAATGTTGCTATTCCGACACCTTACGACAAGCAATCCCCATTGGCATAACGGCAAAAACATCTCTTCCTTCAAGTAAACAGTAAACAGTCTGTTCTTGTTCATTTGTAATCGAAAAAAGTGATCAATTTTCGAATTTTAAGCTTATCGAGAGCCTTTGTCTATGCCTTTGTGATGAATCACTGACCTAATTATAGAATCCAACAGCAAACAGCCAATCAGAATGCCGCGTTCGTGGGCGAACGCGGAAAGTACAAAATACCGGGCCTTGCTTGCAGGCCCACTATCAAGTTCCCTTGAGCCTGCTCCCTTGGGCCTGAACGCGGGCTAAGATGTTGCACGCATACGGTCAAAAAACGTTTCAAAATAATACAACACAAAACAACAAGCATATTATCGTTAAAGTAATTAACGGCTATACGAATATATTATAACAAAACGATAATAAATATGGCATTCGCTCTCGACGTATGTGGCTCATACCCGACTCAATGCTACCAGGGCGTTTATAAGATAGGGCGGCGAAACGCCAGTAATTCGCGTGAAACATGTGTGATGCAAATTAGGACTGGGGCTAGCGGGCTAGGCGCGAAATTTAAATCAAAACAAACTATTGATGCGAAACTCGAAGACACTTTTTAAATCTCTTATTTTGCCGAAATTATGCAGTCTATCGTTGCCATATTTTGTCATCTGGTTATTTACGTTTTTTACAATTGACATGGCATGGCTCAAGATAATCGTAAAAACAAAACTACGAAAATTTTGCACATGAAAGCCGAACATCATAATGGATTCCCTTACGCGCTTTTAGGATGCGTAAATAAATACTTATTTTATATCTCAAAAATAAGCCAGAACTTAGCTTTTTTAAATGCATGTTAACAAAGTACAAATCGTTATTCCTCTTAAATTTCATGGCGTAATTTTTTGAACTTTTTTTCCAATAGCTTGCTGAATACAGCATAAAAAATTGATTACAGTTGAAAAATTATCCAGATTCGCATAGTTTTAAAATATACGAATATAAAAGAAATTTAAACTTTTTTGGCCACTCTTATTCTTAAATCGACATAGGAATACTTGTTCTTCTTACCAGCATGTTCATCCTTGACCAGAGGCCAACATGTAACGAGTAAATGAGAATTGTTTTCAAACAAGTGTTCGGGTTCATCGTCACTGCAAATTTCGCTTTTCCAACTGGCCTTCGATTTGTAAAATATTAATAACTTGTACTGTCACCAGAACTTAGCAAATCCAAGGACGACTAGTCCATTATCAGATCTTTCTTTGGTAAAAATATTGTCACTTAATTTTTTTAACTTTTTTTGCAATATGGGAACAAACACGACACAACGGAAAAATATTCGGCAGAATTTCGAATTATACCTCGCGAACAGGAAGATTGAGGGCGGCAAGTCAAGACGGACACAGACAATGCCGATGGCGACGATGAAAATTGCGAAATTTATTTATTTATTGCGAAATAAATTTAAAAAGGGTAAACAAACACTTCATGTTTTAAATTAAATATACAACACAGATAATATAACTAAAAAGACACTGAGAAAAACAAGCCGAAACGACTTTGATAATTGGTTCAATATGAAATATCTATTAAAAGTGCACATTTATGAAATAGACTTAAAATTTGGTCTAGCACGTTTTGTATATATCTACTATATACAACTAGTTGGTAGTTTATATTACAATTGTCTACTCTTACAGCTATGTCAAATAATTTGAAAAGAACGGTTTCACCAGTGAGAGGATATAATGATACACCCAGGGCCATAGCGAGGGCAGGGGTATTTTGGGGGGGGGGGAGGTGGTTAACCACCCCCTCAACTTTCTTAGAATCAACATATTCGGAGAATCGGGCTGGCCATTCGGAAAATTACGGCAATAATATTAGTAGCACAAAATTTTAGTTGTTAAACAGAGAAAATATTATAAAATTGTATTGTCAGTATAAACTGATTTATGAAATTATGGCATTTAACAAATCGTAAATCGGTAAATGTTTTTCAGTTCATTACTTCTCAGGGCCGTAGCAACCGGGGGGGGGGGCACTGCAGCTCTGCCAATAATTTGGTACTGATCATTCTTTAATATACCATCAGACTTCTGTCAAAACTTCCCCAAAGTCAAGGAAATGGCATTTCAGGGACTCTAAATTTAAAAATTTCCTCGTGCCTCCGTTTTCACCCCCCAATCAAAAAGAGCTTCCTACGGCACTGCTTCTGTAATATGCGTGTGCGTCTATGTCTTGCGCGTATGTCTTGGCCTACCTCCCCCCCCCCAACTATACATGCTAGCTACGGCCCTGGATACACCCAAGAGAAGAGCAGAATTTAGCACACCACCTCGGCCACAAAGAAATGCTCTGGACCCAACTATTTTATAATACCCTTTTCTTTGATGACTCTTGTGTTTCCAGTGGCACCCTTCACCTTCAAATTATGCACCTGGTAAATATGATGCAATAATAGA